TAAGGAGTGTGCTGTTCAATTTCCATGTATTAGAGAAATTTCTGCGGTATGCTTTGTTATTGAGAGTTAGCTTGATTCCACTGTGGTCAGATAGGATACAGGGGATTATGTCGATCCCTTTGTATTTGCTTAAGTTCCTTGAATGAACTATGATATGGTCTATTTTGGAGAAAGTTCCATGAGCTGCTGAGAAGAATGTGTACTGTGTTGTTTTAGGGTGAAATACTCGGTAGATGTCAGTTAATTCCGCTTGAAGTATGGCCTCACTTAATTCGGTAGCTTCTTTGCCAATCCTCTGGTTGGTAGACCTGTCCTTTGGTGAGAGTGGCGTGTTAAAGTCTCCTAGTATTATCGTATTGGGATCTATTTTATTCTGTAAGTTTGAGAGCATTTGTTTAACATATCTGGGTGCACCGATATTTGGGGCATATAAGTTGATGATGGTTATATCCTCCTCTTGGATTGTTCCCTTTATTAATATGTAGTGTCCGTCCTTGTCTTTCTGTACTGATTTTAATGAAAAGTTTATTTTGTCAGATATCAGGATAGCTACACCTGCTTTCTTATTGGGGGAATTTGATTGGTAGATCCTTTTCCACCCCTTCACTCTGAGTTTGTTTGTATGTTTGGCTGAGAGGTGGGTCTCCTGAAGGCAACAGATGGATGGGTCTTGTTTTCTGATCCAGTCCTCAGTTCGTTTTCTTTTAATTGGCGAATTCAGCCCATTTATATTAAGAGAAAGTATAGAGAGATGCATTGTTGTCCCTGCCATTCCGTTTTCCTAAGTTTTTCTTCTTTCCTTTCCTCCTGTGCTTGCTCAGTTAGACTTTGAGTAATGCCTGTTTGGGGCAGGTCCCAGTTCCTGGTTGCTTTCTTCAGGTTGTGTCCCCCCTCTTAGAATTCTTTGTAATGCTGGCTTAATGTTTATGTATTCATTTAGTTTTTCTTTGCTGTTAAAAGTTTTCAGTTCTCCATCGAATGTGAATGCTAGCTTTGCCGGGTATATCAGTCTGGGTTGGCAGTTATTGGCTCTCAGGGCTCGTATGGTGCTTTCCCAGGCTTTTCTTGCATTCATTGTTTGTGTGGAGAGATCTGCAGTGATTCTAATTTTTTTCCCGTTGTAGTATAGCTCCTTCTTCATTTTTGCTGCATGCAGGATTGTTTCCTTATTATTCAGATCCATCATTGTTACTATTATGTGCCTAGAAGTGTTTCTCCTGGGATCTTGCTTGTTGGGTGTTCGATAAGCTTTTGTGATGTAGTTAAGATGGTCGTTTTTGAGGTGGGGAAAATTTTCATTGACTATCTTGTTAAATAGGTGTTGCATTCCCTTGCTCTGGAATTCCTCACCTTCGTCCACTCCGATTATGCGAAGGTTAAATTTTTTAGCATTATCTGCTTGCTCTTGAATTTCCCTTTGGTTTAATTTGAGTGATTTTTCCATATCTGTCACTTTTTGGTCCAGTTGGTGTATTCTGTCTTCTGTATCTGACACTCTACCTTCCATTTCATTCACTCTGTTGACCGTGGCTTCTATTGTGGTTTGCATGGTGGAAATGGATCCCTTTATGGATTCAATGTTGGTTCTCAGAGTACTGATCTCACCTCTCAATGAGGTGATATCAGTATGCATTACCTCTAATTTGGCGTTTATCTCACTTCTTACTGAGGTTTGTGCAGCTTCTATTTTTGCATCCAATTTTTGTTTGATATCCTGTATATCTTTTGATAGTTCATCCTTGTGCTCTTTCAATTTCTGATCCATTTCTCGCTTTATTTCTTGAGTCATTGCCTCCAGCAACCCTTGGATGTAGTTTTTGTCTTCCATTCCTGCTTTGCTCCCACTGGGGCTCTCCCCTGCGTGGCTGCTGGCTTTTGAGGTGAGCTTGCTGTCCTGGGTAGTGGTAAACCTTGTGATTTTTCTCTGTGATTTTCGCATGGGGGTTCAGGAGACTGCTCTTCAATCTTGTTTTGGTGTGTCTGTCTTTGCTTGGTTGCTGATTCTCTATTGGTAGAGAGAGTCTGTGCCTGATCTGGATTCTGTTGGGAGCCTATTTCCAGCTGCTATTCACTTAGGATTCTCAGCTCTCTGCTGTAGCAATTCCCGCCTTTGGAAGGGTTGAGCAGCCTAGACTGCTTGTGTTTGCTCCTGCGGGTGCTCTTGGGAAGATCAGATGCTCTGGATGCACTCTCCCAAATACTGGAGTCTGCTATGGGCTCCTGATGTGTTTTTGTTTGTTTGTTTTGGGCTGGTTGTGGGCTTGAACTCTAGGTTTGGGTGCTGTCCCTCAGCTCTTCAGCTCAGGGCTGGCACCCTACCATTTGAGCCACAGCCCCACTTCTGACCCTTTTTGCTTTGTTCAGGCGCCGGTCCCCTGGCCTGGTTCCGGCCCCAGCCTGGAGCGCGCTCGTTCGGCCTGTGCTAATGTGTATACCACCTTGGTTATGCAGCCTGGAGGACACAGTTCAAATTTCTTCTACTGTTGGTAGTCTTGACCCAGGGGCACTGTTCCTGGCTTGAGCATTTAAGCTCCCTTCCCGGGGCGCTCTTGCTCTGGCCTGGCCAGCAGAGTGTGCTCCACCGGCTGGTGGGGCTCTCGAACAGTTCCCAGTTTTAGTGGGTCCTGTGGTCCGGGTGTTGGGGTAGGGAGTCTAGGTCAGGGTCTGGGGATTCCCTCCAGCTCTGGTCTCCCTTGATGGATTCCCTGTCCCCTGATGGGTACTCACCCTGTAGGTCGTCAGTTGTTGTTGCAGTCCGTCAGTTGTTGTTGCAGTCCGAGTTCAGTTGGGGTGGTTGCGGGCTGGGTTGGGCGGCCCCCCGCCGGGTCGTTGCGATCGCGATTGGGCGGGTGGTCTGCGGACAGGTCCCTTCGTGGCGCTGCTGGTGCCGGGCGGCTTTGGCGGGATGGAGCCTCTCCGCTCCGGTGGAGAGTGATGGGTGGGGTGGGATCCTCCTGGAGACTCCCGGCTGGTAGGTTTCTCTGTTCCTGGCGATCCGCTGTTCTGCAATCCGGTACCTGGTGATCTGCAAGCAGCCCCCTGTGTCTCTGTGGCTCCGGCAGCCCCTGCCGGGCCGGCTGGCCGGCGGCTTGGCGCACTGCCGCGCGGCCAGTAAAGGTTGGGGGAGGGGTCTTCGCTCTTCTCTGTTCTGATATTCTTCTTTTCCTCTCTTTCTTTTTTTGTTATTTTCCACCTCTGGTTTTTCTCTGAGTGTTCGTCTTTTTGTTGTTGTCGGTCTCTTGGGGAGATTAAAGGTTGGAACTCGAACTCTCTTTTTGGTTGGAGAGAGCTGTGGCGTTTCCCTACTGCCCCGTCGCCATCTTGAGAACTCTGTCCCTTAGCTTTTTAGCTCAAGTCTGGCATTCTACCCCTTGGGTCATACTCTATGTGTGGATTCCTGTCCCAGGCTGGCTTCGAACCATAATGCTCAGCTCTTAGCCTTCTGAGAAGCTAGGATTGCAGACATGAGCTTTCAGCACCTGGCAAAAGATATGTTTTTATACATTTCGTATATTTACGTATATATCGTTTAGACAATCCTTGAAGTCTCAACTTGGATTTTTTTTCTTTTTACTCCTGATGGTCATAGCTGTCCCATTTAATCTATCAACATATTTGTAAGCCTGGCATGATGGCTGATCTTGTGATCTTAGGTATACAGTAGGCTGTAGATGGGAGAAATTTGATCTAAAGACCTCCCCAAGCAAAAAAAATGCTAGGCCTCTGCCTGAAAAATAACTAAAGCAAAAAAGGACTTGGCATGGCTCAAATAATAATGCCTACCTACTAAGCACAGGCCCTGAGTTCAAACCCCAGTATCACAAAAACTACCATCTAGCCAGGCACTGGTGGCTCATGCCTATAATCCTAGCTACTCAGGAGGCTGAGATCTGAGGATCCTGGTTCAAAGCCAGCCCACGCAGGAAAGGTCCTGAGATACTTACCTCTAGTTAACCATCAGAAAACTGGAAGTGGAGCTGTGGTTCAAATAGTAGAGTACCATCCTTGAGCACAAATGCTCAAGAACAGTACCCAGGCCCTGAGTTCAAGACCTACAACTGACAAAAAAAAGTACGATATATTTATCATGATTGTAATGTGTTGTGCACATTATTCCTTCTGTTTAGAACAATCTTCTTCCATCCACTGTTTCCATGGCTTATTCAGTTTTTGAAGTCGTAGGTGCCATTCTCAAAAATCTTCCCTTCCCATGCTTTCTAAAGCAACTTCCCAACTGGGCACAGTGCCTCACATCTGTAATCCTAGCTACTTGTGAGACAGATTGGGAGGACTCTGGTTTGAGGCCAGCCCAGAAGAAAGTTTGAAAGCCATCCCTCTTCTATCTCAACCAATAAAAAAGTTGTGTGTGGTGATTTACAGCTTTTCATCCCAGCTATACGGAAGTAAAATAAGAGGTCCATGCCAATGCAACAAAAAGTGAGACCCTATTCAAAAAGCAGTACAGGCTGGCATCATGGCCCAAGTGGTAGAATGACTGGCAAACACAGATCCTGAGTTCAAACCCCAGTATCACAAAAATAAAGAAATGTAATAACCTTGCCCCTATGCCCCATCTCCGGTGATATCTGTTCTCTGCCTTTTCTACTACCATGAAAGTTCCTAGTATGAAACGGCTAGGATCTCACGGACTCTTCCTACCATATTGACTATGCTCCCTTATAGCATACCAAGGAGCACGATAGACAATAAATACTGTGAAATGAGTGAATAATTGAATATAGATATTATTATTTGCATTTACCTTAGCCCAATTTCCCAATTGGATAGGAGGAGTACGTAAGTACACTTCCTTCTTTCTCCTTCTCCTTGACCTTTCTAGATCTATGTTAGAGAGAAGCTTGTATTTTTGTACCAATATTTTACAGTGTTGCAGTAATCTAAAGGTCGGCATTAATCATCTTGTTAAACACTTGTGAATAAAGAATTTTCAGTAAGTAAATGTATTGTTAATGTGACTCTTTAATTTGTATTTCAATTAGGTGGTTCACAGAGATTTGAAACCTAGCAACATTCTTTATGTCGATGAATCTGGTAATCCAGAGTCTATTCGAATTTGTGACTTTGGGTTTGCAAAACAGCTGAGAGCAGAAAATGGTCTTCTCATGACTCCTTGTTACACTGCAAATTTTGTTGCACCAGAGGTAATTGTGAGGCAGTTTGCCTGCAGTATTTTCATGTATCTAAGATCCTGTTTGCTGGGTTTAATATAGACTAGTTAGTAATTGCTTATTTGAAGTGGTACTGAGCAAATAATTAAGATAAAATGTCAACCCCTATTTCCCTATTTAATGCTTCAATGACAGCTGATTGCCTACTTTAAAAAGTCTAAAATTTGGCTGGGAAGGTGGCTCAGTGATAGAGTGCTTGCCTTGCATGCATGAGGCCCTGGGTTCGATTCCTCAGCACCACATAAGCAGGAAAAAAAAGCCGAAGTGGCGCTGTGGCTCAAGTGGTAGAGCTAGCCCTTGAGCTGAAGAGCTGAGAGACAGCGCCCAGGTCCAGAGTTGAGGCCCCACGACCGGACCCCAAAAAAAAAACAAACTTGAAAAAGTCTAAAATTCCTTGATAAGATACTATAAAAGTACTTTAATCTCGCTAGTATAGCCTACTTTAAGGTCTGACCATTCTGAACTCCTTGCCTATGTCTTAATCTGCTCTGCCCACTTGTTTCTACACTCTGCGCTTCCCCACCTCTTTCCCTTCCAAGTTTTACTAGCATGATGGAAACTCATAAAGTGACATGTTGAACTGAAATCCATATGTACAACTATATAAAGATAATTTAAAATTAAAAAGTTCTTATTTGTTCAAAATAAACTGCCTAACCCTGTAGCTTTTCCTCTCTACCCATACCAAAATTAATTTAGATCCAGGTGTTGGTGGCTCATGCCTGTAATCCTAGCTACTCATGAGGCTGAGATCTGAGGATCATGGTTCAAAGCCAGTCTGGGCAAGAAAGTCTGTGAGACTCTTACCACCAGTTAACCACCAGAAAACCAAAGTGGGGCTGTGGCTCAAAGTGGTAGAGTTCTAGCCTTAGGCAAAAGAGCCCAGGGACAGAGCCCAGACCCTGAATTTAAGCCCTGCATCTGACAAAAACTTAACAATACTAATCATTTAGGGTAGGACACGAGTGGCTCATGTCTCTAATCCTAGCTACAGGAGGCTGAGATCTGGGGACCATAGTTCAAAGCCAGCCTGCAAAGAATGTCAAAGAGATTTTATCTATCTCCAAGTAGTCAACAAAAAAGCAGGACTGGGGGTATGACTCAAGTGGTAAAGCACCAAACATGAACTAAAAAAGCCAAGCGCCAAGTTCAAGCCACTGTACCAGCATATATGCATAAAAAGAATAAATTGAGAGAAATCAAAATTTACTCTCTAAATTAAAAAAACATTAAATTGAGGCTAGAGGATCTAACTTCATGGTGGAGAACCTGCCTAGTTTGCCAGAGACCCTGCGTAGGATCTCCAGTTCTGCAAAAGGAAAAGAAAAAGAATAGATTACTTCCTCTTTGTACCTATATTATTTCGTATATGATTTTGATTTGATACTTAACATGTTGAATTGTTCATTGTTTATATAATATCCTCTGCTAGATTCTAATTTCTTAAGGAAATTGGTCTTTCGAAGAACCATAATCAGGCTGGGAATGTGGCTTAGTGTAGAACCTTGCCTAGCATGCATGAAGCCCTGGGTTCAATTCCTCAGTACCACATAAACAGGAAAAGCCAGAAGTGGCGCTGTGGCTCAAATGGTAGAGTTCTTGCCTTGAGCACAAAGAGGTCCAGAGACAGTGCCCAGGCAATGAGTTCAAGCCTAGGACCAGCAAAAAAAAAAAATCACACTTCTATAGCCCATACAATATTTATTAAAATAAGAAACTTACCTTTAGTTTATTCTATATTCTTCTGTGTATTAAGTTAAAACCCAACATTCATTCATATAACCAAAACAAATTTCTATATATGAGTTGTCATTAGTGGCATGTCCTAAGATAGGATTGATAAATTGTCTCATTTTAATCATGTTCTGGTGAAGTTTTTCTTATATACATCTATGAAAAATGTAAGTTCACTGCTTATACATACAAAAGATAGTAGTATGGTAATAATGCTCCTTCAATTTCCTAGGTTTTAAAACGACAAGGCTATGATGCTGCTTGTGATATATGGAGTCTTGGTGTCCTCCTGTATACAATGCTCACCGGGTAAGTATGTGCTATATATTGGAAGCATTTACTTCATCAACATTTTGGCTAAATTATGTAGGGATTTTTTTAATCCTGATATTATAATATCTCTTTTCATATTTTCTCATGCTGTGTAGTACATGCAATATTGTAATGTAAGAGCATCATACTCATAGCTATATCTAAAGGTCTAAAAACTTTTTTGTTAATTTTGTTACTTAATTTAAGAATAACTTAGCTGGGTGTCAGTGGCTCATGCCTGTAATCCTAGCTACTCAGGAGGCTGAGATCTGAGGATCATAGTTCAAAGCCAGCCCGCAGTCCGTGAGACTCCTCTTATCTCCAGTAAACCACCAGAAAACTGGAAGTGGTTCTATAGCTCAAGTGGTAAAGTACTAGCCTTGAGCTGAAGAGCTGAGGGACAGCGCCCAGGCCCAGAGTTCAAGCCCCACGACTGGGGGGGGGGGGGGGGCGGGGTTAAATAACTTTTTTTTCTTGTGCCCAAGCACTATTTTTAGTACTTTTGTTCTGTAATGTGTTAACAATAAATTACAATGTTTTGTAACTTATACTGTGGCTTATAGGGCTTTGATTTTTATTGATATTGTATTAGCTGAATTACAGTACTTTTGGAAACTTCAACTAATTGTACAGATTATTAGCTAACAACATTTTGTTCATGTTTTAATTTTATTGTAATTCAGTTACACTCCCTTTGCAAATGGTCCTGATGATACACCAGAGGAAATACTGGCACGGATAGGGAGTGGGAAATTCTCACTCAGTGGCGGTTACTGGAATTCAGTTTCAGATACAGCAAAAGTAAGTGTGGCTTCCTGTTATAAGTTTATTTTATTTTTAGTACTGGGGATTGAATCCAGAGCCTTGCATGCCAAGCCTGCAGTCTACTACTCACTGAGCTATACCCAGCCCTATTACAAGCTTTCTTTTTAATTTTGTTTCCTTGCATTGCTGGGGATAGAACCAAGGGCCTTGTGAATGCTAGACAAGTGCTGTACCACTGAACTACATCCCTAGGTCCTATGACAACATTCTAAGACTATAATTTGTCATAATCTATGATAAGCAGATACACCATCAGCAAATTTAGCTTATAAAGAAGTATGTTAAAATTATGTTACCAAGTAACTGGAACTCCAAAATGGACCATTTCCTTTGTTTGTTTCCCAGAAGATACTGGTTTGCCCTTAAAGTTATTTCTTATGAGCATGATGATGCATAAAGTCATTTGAAAAGTCCTAGGTCTGCTATCCCCAGAATAGCACTGATCTGCTTTACACCACTGCTCTATTTGTACTTTATTCATAGAAAATTCTTTAAAAAAACGAATGAACTTTTCTTCTTTAAAACAAGAAAAACATGGGGCTGGGAAGTTGGCTCAGTGGTAGAGTTCTTGCCTTGCATGCATGAGGCCCTGGGTTCGATTCCTCAGCACCACATAAGCAGAAAAAAAAAAGCCGGAAATGGCGCTGTGGCTCAAGTGGTAGAGTGCTAGCCTTGAGCTGAAGAGCTGAGGGACAGCACCCAGGCCCAGAGATCAGACCCCATGACCGGACCAAAAAAATAAATAAAAATAAAATAAAACAAGAAAATAATAGAGGAGATAAAGAAACATTGAGCAACAGTCTCACTGTTTTTTCTTGGAGATTCAAATTATATAAGTTAGCAGCACATCCAAAACCTATATGGGAGTCAGTGCTAATGGCTCAGGCCTGTAATCCTAGGTACTCAGGAGGCTGAGATGTTAGGATGACAGTTCAAAGCCAGCCCAGGTAATAAACTTCGTGAGATTTGTATCTCCAATTAACTAACAAAAAGCTATAAGTAGAGCTGTGGTTAAAGTGATAGAGCACTTGCCAGGCACCAGTGGTTCATGCCTATAATCCTAACTACTCAGGAGGCTGAGATCTGAGGATCAATGTTCAAAGCCAGGCCCGGCAGGAAAGTCCGTGAGACTTTTATCTCCAGTAAACCACCAGAAATCGGAAGTGGCTCTGTGGCTCAAATAATAGAGAGCTTCCCTTGAGCTAAAGAGCTGAGGGACAGTGCCCAGGCCCAGAGTTCAAGCCCCATGACCAACAAAAACAGATGTTAGACTAGAGTATAACTGAATGGTATAGCATATATTTATTTAGCTAGCATGCATGAGACCCTGAATTCAATCCTGGCACAAAATATAATGAAATAAAGTGAAATACTAGTCTTCACCTTTTTCTAGCAATAAAATTCTGGTACCTATTTCCTTTCTGATTCCCTTAATCGAGCACTTATAAATATACTTAATAAAGGAAAGCCCTGAAAATAAAAGTTGTGACCAAGGTAGAATTCCTGATCAGATTACGCTTTTATCTTGAGAGATAGCCAAAAAATGCAGAGTACAGTGCCAGGTGTGCACCTTTTGTGCTAAAGAAGATCCGATGAAGCTCCATTTGAAGGATTTTAGGGAAAGCTTTCCAGAAGCAACAAAAGACTTTGCCAGGTCAATGGGAAAGCTAAAGATTGTAGTTGATCCCGTGCAGATAGGGAGTAATGGTAACATAAGAATAGCAGAGGGTTGGGCTGGGAAGGTGGCTCAGTGGTAGAGTGCTTGCCTTGCGTGCATGAGGCCCTGGGTTCGATTCCTCAGCACCACATAAGCAGAAAAAAAAAGGCCGGAAGTGGCGCTGTGGCTCAAGAGGTAGAGTGCTAGCCTTGAGCTGAAGAGCTGAGGGACAGCGCCCAGGCCCAGAGTTCAGGCCCCACGACCGGACCCAAAAAAAAAAAAAAGAATAGCGGAAGGGAAAGAGTACAAAATGAAGCTTATTATGGAAAGTTTGTGTCTCATGTTCATAATTGTGAGCTTACTCTAAGTATCATGGAAATTTTAAAAAAATACATTAAGCAGTACAGTAGTCAGATTTTCCTGTTTTGTACTCCATGAACAATTTTTTTTCAGTTTAAACAAAGGGCCCTCACTAGCTAGGCAGTCACTGGAGCTATGTCCTTTATCCTTTTTGCTTTAGTTATTTATGAATGAAGGCTTACGTTTTTTTTACCTAGCACTGGCCTCAGACTATAACCCTCCTTCTTATGCCTCCAGCCACATCGGGCATTACAGGTACACACTACTTGTTTCGTTTTCCTCTGCAGTTTTGCAATTTTATTTATTTTAAGCAATTTGGCTTACTTTCAGAATTTGATAGAGAAGATCCTTAATTTTTTTCACTTGTTTCTTTTTTCACCTTTTTCATGTTTTCAGTTCGTTTTTTGCTTTTGTTTTTGTTTTTTTTCCGGTTGTAGGGCCTGAACTCTGGGCCTGGGCGCTGTTCCTCAGCTCTTCAGCTCAAGGCTAGCACTCTACCACTTGAGCCACAGCGCCACTTCCGGCTTTTTTTCTTTTTGCTTATGTGGTGCTGAGGAATCGAACCCAGGGCCTCATGCATGCAAGGCAAGCGCTCTACCACTGAGCCACCTTCCCAGTCCTCAGTTGTTATTTTTGAGACAGAATCTCAATATGTTGCCTAGGTGAATCACTGGAACTCTTGGGTTCAAATGATTCTCCTGCCTAAGCCTCCTAAGTAGCTAGACCACAGTGCCAGCTATAATATTAGCTACTTGGGAGGCTGAGAAAAGAAGTCTCATAGCTCTAAGTCAACCTGGACATAAAAGTCCTCAAGACTCCATTTCAATGGAAGAAACTATTCATAATGGCACACGCCTGTCATTCTATTTACAACAAAGCCTAAAATAAGTGGATCTCAGTCCAGGCACATATGTAGGCAGAAAGCAAGACTCTATCTCAATAATACCCAGCACAACAAAAGGCTAAAAATATAGCTCAGTGGTAGAGCACTTCCCCAGCAAGTTCAAGGCCCTAAAGTCAAACCCCAGTACTGCCCCAGACCAAAAACAAAACAAAAACTTACTGCTCTGTAATTATTTGTTTCTCCCTCACTGAAGGAAAGCTTCATAAAGCAAGAGTTCTTCTCTAAGCTTTATAGATCACAATTAACATTATCACTTTGAAATGTCTAAAACTTTTTAACTATGGTGTGAATTTATATTATGCAAAGTAAGAAGGTATTCAGATAGCTAGGCACTAATAATGGTATTATGTCTAGAAGAACAGGATTGTGGATGTTCTTCATCTTTGTTCATTGTCTATGTTTTTGGATTTACTTGTAATGCCATTAGTTGCTTTTGAAGTAGAAAAAAATGTAAAAGTACAATCTTTTGGGGGCACTTAAAGCCCTCTTAATAAATTCCTTTAGTGGATATTTATGTTCTGTTTTTCAGTATTACTCGTAGTACAATAAAAGTCTCAAGTGTTTGAGTATTCAGACCTCCAAATTTATAGGAAATTCCATAAAATCTGAGATGAATCAAGAGCTAGAGTACTTAAAGATAGATAAAATGTAGTCATTTAAGTGCTTCATAAGCCTATATATGGGTACAGTAATGAAACTCATTAAAATTGTTTTTAAATGTGGAGAAGAGGCTAAGAAAGAGTAATCAGAGGGTCGATTTTGATGAAAATACATTGTATGCATGTTTGAAAATGCCACAATGAAACTCTTTGTACAATTAATAAACACTAATAAAAAAAAGAGAAATATGATGAGGTAACCCTTTGTCATTGAGGGAGGAATATTTTCCCTAAATTATTACATTTATCAAACCAAAGGGGGGAAAATATTATAAAAGCTAAAGAAGAGCCAAGCACTGGTGCCTCGCAACTATAATCCTAACTACTCAGGAGGCTGAGATCTGAGGATCATGGTTCAAAGCCAGCCTAGTCAGGAAAGTTTGTGAGACCCTTAATTGTAATTAACTACCAAACAGCCAGAAGTGGAACTGTGGCCCTAATGATAGAGCACTAGCCTTGAGGAAAAGAGACTCAAGAACAGTGCCCAGCCCCTGAGTTCAAGCCACAGAAGCTGTATGTGCGGACGTGCACACACACGAGCATGTACACACACGCACAAGCTAAAGAACAATGCTTACCAGCATCAAGTAGAAATAAAAGCAGAGGTTAAGCTTGTTTTATTCCCTTTACCTAACAGGACCTGGTGTCAAAGATGCTTCATGTAGACCCTCATCAAAGACTGACTGCTGCTCTTGTGCTCAGACATCCTTGGATTGTCCACTGGGACCAACTACCACAATACCAATTAAACAGACAGGATGCTCCACATCTAGTAAAGGTGAGCACTTCACAGTCACTGTTTTCCACATGTCCTCTAGTATAGACAGGGCCAGCTGAGACTCAGAAACCTTTCCCTTTTCATCCTGAATCCAGTTCAAGTATGAACTTGTCTTACATAGATAACTTACAATAGAAAAGGTCAAAGCATGCTAAAAGATTGGTAATGGAATTAATTTAGGGTAACTTTTAAATTTTTGTCGGTCTCCATAAGTAGATATTCATTGTCAGTGAGGACAGCGGAGCTTATTGATTTTCTAACTGAAAGTGCTTACCCTGCAACCTCTCATATTAAAACATTGGAAGGGCTGGGAAGGTGGCTTAGTGGTAGAGTGCTTGCCTTCCATGCATGCGGCCCTCGGTTTGATTCCTCAGGACCACATAACCAGAAAAAGCCGGAAGTGGCACTGTGGCTCAAGTGGTAGAACGCTAGCCTGGAGCTGAAGAGCTGAGAGACAGTGCCCAGGCCCAGAGTTTAGGCTTTAAGACTGACCAAAAAAAAATTGCCAAGACAAGTTAAAGATCCCCAAGGAAAGTGAGGACCACTTATTTTGAGCCCATCCCTGTCCTCTCATGTACAATTTCACCCTCGCACATTGACCTGTGTTTTAGTGAAATCTGAGCTTAACCAATGTGGCCATTTTCATTATGAGACTAATAACCTCTCGATATATTTGCACATGAAAAATTGTCTGAATACACCTTGATTTCCCGTTTGCAAACATGTCATTTTACCTTTCTTTCCTTTTTGTCAGGGTGCCATGGCAGCTACATATTCTGCTTTAAACCGTAATCAGTCACCAGTTTTGGAACCAGTAGGCCGCTCTACTCTTGCTCAGCGGAGAGGTATTAAAAAAATCACCTCAACAGCCCTGTGAAGTAACCTCAGTGAGATATTTGGTACCATGATGTAAGCTGATAGCACAAGTTCTGGCGACAGGTAGCACATATCTGAGAGACACCTGCAAGCACACACTGTCCCAGCTGGTACCCATAATGCTGCTGCTCCTGCTGCTGCTCCTGCTTTCGTCTCTTCTCGCTTTAAATGATTGTTAGCAAGTTAGATTTTCCTGGAGCTTCGGATGAAATGAATATGGAAACATGATGGAGATATAATCACTGAATCAACTAGAAAAATAATGAACATATGAATACCACCTAAAATACACTGAATAAAGTACTCTTCACCATATAGCATTATTTTTATAGGAAATATTTCATGTCCCTTAAATATTCTTTGTTAGTTATAGGGATGGACAGTTTATGTTAAGCACTTAGCTTAAACAGTCCATTTATATTAGCACTGTATCCCTTGTGCCATCCAACATTTTGTATGTTTTTGTAAACAGTTCATATACAGTACATTTCTGTACTGCTTTCTTTAATGTATACATGCCTTGTTTAACTTGGAATCTATTATTAATCAATGACTATTAAATCTGGTTAACTAGTTCACTTGGATTAACAGTATTGTTGGACAACCCTAAACATGGCCAGATTGTGGAACAGCTGTTGAATGTAATATTTCAAAATGTATATATCTTTCCCTGTGTCTGTTTCACTGGTTTGTTCATTTGTTTGTTTCTTAAAATCAGGTGTTCTGTCAGACTAACTTAGAGAGCTCTTATGGTATAGAAAGTTGTCGTATGTGTGTGGCATGAAATCAAGAATACACCTGTGAAGTGATTCCATCTACTTTGCAACTCCTTCTGGTCCTTTTTTCCTTAATTAGGGAAATACCCTTGCACTTTTAATTTTATATAGTATCCATACTTAATATTCGGCTTTTCCTTTGGGATTTCACCAATATAAATCAAAGACCTTTAAAAATCATCGTCAAGAGATTGGTGAAGGGAAATTTACAACTATTGAAAATTCCTATTGAAAATTTTATGTTTAAATAGATATTCTATATTAAACACTAATTTGAATGTAATAAAGGCCACAGGCCTCTATATGAAGTTGGATTTAAATTTTCTTATGGTAGGGAATAAAACATTCTTGATAAAACAGTTATCTTTTCTAACCTGAAATTATAGCCAAGGTAGGCCAAGTGAATGTTCCGTATTTACTGTTTTCTGAATCCCTCCTGATTTAGAGCCATATATTTCCCTTGACTGCAGAGATGATCATTTTTCATAATTGCCCCTGGATCTGTTGCAGCATTCATTATTTACATACAATTTGTTATTTTCCACAATTTTATATCATTTGAAAAAATAAATTTCTGTACCCATTAGTACCCCTAAATTTGCCAGGCTATTTAGCACGTATCAACATGTAATGTGAAAAACATATGGGCAAAGAGTGTCCAAATAGATATGTACTCAGGTATTACACGTCAGAAATCTTCTCCTGCCAGAAGCTTTAACCCTTCCCCTAAGCATACCAAGCCAAATGTTATGGAAGCCACTGTGTCATTCCTTAATTTTTCCTTTATGCTATTAAAGAGAAAATCCATGATATTCCTTTGCCCAAGTAACACAAAATGGTTATTGCATAGAAATCAAATGTAATTCTATCTCAAATACAGGAAAAGTGAATAGGAGAAAGGACATCCGAAGATCTAGCAAAAAGTTTTTAAAGTGCTTGATTACATGAATGCTAACTAGTAAAAGCTGTTTTCCATTGCCAGAAAAGAGAGCTTTTTGTCTTTTCCTCCTCTGTGTTTCAAACCATAGTAATCCCAAATTCTTGTCACTTTTTAAACATTAATATAACTCTGAGCAGAAAATAGATATATTTTGAGACTTTGCCAGGTATGCTATTCCATAATTGCTTAGCTGTATTGTCCACCAGTCTTTTAGAACTATAAGTAAACACTTAACTTCCTGTAAATTTCCCCAAATTTCCCATATTGTATGTAAAGAAGCTGAGACTGAAATTGAATCCCCAACTTCTTCCCATTAAGTTCCTTTTTCCTCATTACACCATTGCTGCCTTTCCTTCATATCACCACCTGACTGTAGCTGAATTCAAAAAACCTTAGATTTCTTGGGGCAGTTATCTACTGTCTTATGATGCCAAGTTTATTTCTTTTCAGAATAATTGCCTTCTTTGTCTAGTCAAGCTGCCGTTTTTAATGGAGAAAAGCAAGTTGTATTCACAAAACTGAAGGCCTTCTGCCTAAAAAGCAGCTTGTGAACATAAATGATTCTAGCAGCAGTTTTGGTGTTTGCCTTTGGGAAGTCATGGTCAGCAATGTGCCCTAAGTATAGTGTTTGTGTTGGATTACCCACTCCATCAATTACCCAAATTGCAATTCTTGCAGGCCTCTATACTTGTGGTATTGAAGCGCCTGAAGTCTTTTGCCCTTCACCAGTTGCTGCCAGTTTCTGGGACTTCTCCCAGGAGTTGTCAGTCCAGTCTTAAAGATACTTCACTGTGAAAGAAGGAACTAAACCATCAGGACTCTTTTACACTCTTTTCTCTTAGTTTATAATACAGTTTAATACGCAAAATGATAGGATTGTATTTGACATTGCTGAATGCATGACCATGTGTTTTGTATCTTTCTTTTCGGGTGATGATACTAAGGTAAGTTTTTTTCTATCTTTTTATTTTCACTTTTTGTGAATTCTTTCAGCTCCCTCTGGTTTATAAAGATACTAAGTTCATTAGACCCTTGACTTTAACAGATTTGTGGCATGGATGTGTTTATTCACAAGCAAACTCTGCAGTATAAAGATATAATCATTTTGCAAGGCCTGAAGTTGAGATGCCATGAGGATGGAGTGTGGGAAGAGTCACTTGTGCATGTTTGGAGGGCAAATAGAGATTGTGCATGTCAGTTTCCACATAATGTGCAGCACACTCCAAAGAACAACTTCAGATCAACCATTTCTCATCTTTAAAAGTGACTTGTTGGGGACAGAGAACATCAAGGAAAATGGGCATATAGCTAGCTGTGCCTTGTACTGTCTCTCTAGGAGAACTTTGAACAGAGGGTGGTGAATGCAAAGGCTTCGAGAGAAGGCAGAACATTGGGTAGGAAAGGAAGTAGGGTAGGCCTTGCCTGGGATAAAAAATTGGCAGAACAGCATTCAAGATTTGGAAGCTTTGGTGTAGATGTGCCTACTTAATATGGAAAGCCAACAACACGTATCCTAACATGTTTTAATAGCCTCTACTCCTTGCCCTTTATAATTGACCTACAATTTTTCGACTTGCTTTACTATATTCTACAAGTCAATTATATCTTATGGTAGTGTTGTCCATGTGAGACTTAGAAAGGTATTAGATAGCTCAGGAATATAAAGGGTCAGAAAAGATCTTTGTCTATGATTCAAAAATATAGATTCCTTGGCTGAATCTTGGTGCTTAAACCAGGAGGTTCCAGTCTAGTCCCAGAGATCTGTCCCTCTGTAAGGTCTGATGCCCTGGGACTAAACTGGATATATGCTTTCAGCCTTATTTAATTCACAGAGAAGTTGACTTAATTTTTTTATTTCAACTAATGAAAACAGTCCTCTCTTCAGCGCCAGGTTGCTTACATTTTGCCAGTCTCCCCAAGTGGCCATTGGTGGAGACCAATTAATGAAGGAATGAATTCACTTTCTTGAGACTGTGGTATTCTACAAAGCCACACTTAACCACTTTTTCCAGTGAAGAATCTACACAATGATAATACCCAGATACGGATGGCCAAGAAGAGTTTGTATCTACAGTGTGCTTTGTGTATTTTTGACACTGCTGTATTGTGTGTTCAAGTGACTTGTAACTGGTTCCAATGTGACTGAATTGTTCTCAAGTAATGCTAGTAACTAAGTCAATTGGGGGGGGGTATTTTTTTAAGTCTGATATTATTATCGGTCTCAAATTTACCACTTTGATTCCAGTCTTGTAACTGTTTATAATGGGGCATACCAAGGGTTGGGATGAGAGCTTACTTCCTACCTCTTAAGGCACTTTCCTCATTGTTTTGCCATATAACCTTGAACTGCATGATAAGCTGTTTAAATGTCCAAGACTTATCCCAGAGCAACTAGCAAAGTATATGACATTTTGAATAGAGATTAGTGGAAAGGAAAATTTAGAGATTTAAGTCCACAGGTGCAAGCCTCGAGAAATTGTCTTTAGAGCACATGCCATTTGAGTACAGTATATGTAATGTATATGAAGAGAGCCACTATAATAGTCCTCTCTAAGTAGATTAGTTCAATATCTAATAGAAATGAACATCTTTACTCCTATTATTGCTGTAGAACTGAATGAACTGTATACTGGGGTTTTCCACAAGTATTTAAAATAAAACTTAAATACAAGGCAAGGGCATAAGGATAAGAGAGTTTGGTTTGTGTTCTTGTAGGTGTAGTTTACCATCTAAAGCTTTGTGTTTTTTTTTTAACTTAAAAGGCTTCAGTGTATTGCCATTCATTAGCATCCTTAATAATCATGGGTGATGACTTGTAACTCTTAAAATTATATACACGTATTAGTTTATCTTAATTCTTGCCCTAAATAAAAGGGAAGATATACACCTAAGGGATGTAATTATTTTGCATTTTTGGCCATGGGTGGGAATGGGGTGGGTGTCTACTTAAGCAGTTTTTAAAAAAATCACAAATATTTTTCTACTATTATATATGATCTTACTTTATACTAGTGTCTCTCTAGTAAGGCATGCCAGAAGCCCAAGGTACCATATCACAAGTTCTGTATTGTACCTTCTGTTGGTGGTTAAATCGCATCAGATGCTTGGCACTGCCGCCGTAATTATGAAATGCTTGTAAAGGATCAAATATCACTGAATACTTTCAATTGTTTCACTTAAGAGTCTAATCTGGGAAGTTTGCAAATCATACTATTAATGTGTAATGTAAGCTCTTTTAGATGTATCCATGAATACCATGAATAATCCTGGAACAATATTGCTTGTATCCCTGTCATAGAACAGGTTTTGTAATCTTTAAAAGAAATGAAAATTTATATAATAAAATTTCAAATAAATGCATGTATGTCCCTTTTATCAGCTTGTCTTGGTTATATAACTAAACCCTTATAATATCAAATTATTATATCCAAAGTACATTTGTGAAATTGTCTTGATAGGACTTTTTTTTTTTGGTGGGTCATGGGGCTTAACTCGGCCTGGGCACTGTCCCTGTGCTCTTCACCTCAAGGTGAGCACTCTACCACTTGAGCCACAGCACCACTTCCATTTTTCTAGTGGTTTATTGGAGATAAGAGTCTCATGGACTTTACTGCCTGGGCTGGCTTTGAACCGAGATCCCCAGATCTCAGCCTTCTGAGTAGCTAGGATTACAGGCGTGAGCCACCAGCGCCCAGCTGTCTTGATAGAACTTTAAGATAGGAATATTTCTGAGTTAAATACAAAATGGGCTGGAGGTTGAGTGACTGCCTAGCAACTACGGTCCAGCATTCAAATCCTACTACCACCAAAAAAATTAAAAAGTTGAGCTGGGTGCTGGTGGCTCACACCTGTAATCATAGCTACTCAGGAGACTGAGATTGAGGATGTCAAAGCCTACCCAGGTAGGAAAGACCATGAGACTCATTATCTCCAATGAACCACCAGAAAACCAGAAGTAGTGCTCTGGGTCCACATGGTAAAAGCACTAGTCTTGAACAAAAGAGCTCAGGGACTGAGTTCAAGTCCCATAACCAACAAAAAGTACAAAATAATTTTGCTATGCATTATCTTAAATAAAGGACTTATCAGATCAGACTCATGCATGTCATACATTTTATTCAGTATCAAACCTTAATGATTCAACGAATAAGAATGATCACCAGACTCAGATGAAACATTACTTTCTTTTTTTCTTTTTTCTTTTTTTTGCTGGTCGTGGGGCCTGAACTCTGGGCCTGGGTGCTGTCCATCAGCTCTTCAGCTCAAAGGCCAGGACTCTACCACTTGAGCCACAGCGCCACTTCCAGCTTTTTCTGCTTATGTGATGCTGAGGAATCGAACCCAGGGCCTCATGCATGCAAGGCAAGCACTCTACCACTGACCCATCTTCCCAGGCCAAACATTATTCTTTTTTTTGGGGGGGGGGGTCCGGTCATGGGGCCGGAACTCTGGGCCTGGGCGCTGTCCCTCAGCTCTTCAGCTCAAGGCTAGCGCTCTACCACTTGAACCACAGCGCCACTTCCGGCTTTTTTCTTTTTGCCTATGTGGTGCTGAGGAATCGAACCCAGGGCCTCAGGCATGCAAGACAAGCGCTCTACCACTGAGCCACCCTTCCCGCCCCTAAACATTACTTTCTTAAAGTCTAAAACTACAAGATTTGGCTCTGAAAACATGATGTAGTTTGGATTCAGGATTGAAGTGCTAGTTTTCTTCTGAATGTTAATATGTCAATATCTGGATTTTTAAAAATGGGAATCATTCACTCTTACAACCTTTTTAGGGCTTGAGGTGTGGCTTAAATGGTAGAGTGCCAAACTCCAGTATTGCCAAAAAAAAAAAAAGGAGGAGGATAAAGGAAATGCCTTTTTTTTTTTTTTTTTTTTTTTTTTGCCAGTCATGGGGCCTGAACTCTGGGCCTGGGCGCTGTCCCTCAGCTCTTCAGCTCAAGGCGAGCGCTCTACCACTGGATCCACAGCGCCACTTCCGGCTTTTTCTGCTTATGTGGTGCTGAGGAATCGAACCCAGGGCCTCATGCTCGCAAGGCATGTACTCTACCACTGAGCTACCTTCCCAGCACCAGGAAATGCCCTTTTTATAATCTATTATTTATGTAATTTAAATAATGAACCCCTATTCTCCAACCAACCATGCCTTATAAATCAAATAAGCCTTCTTAAAAGAAATGTATCTATTAAAACCATTTTTAGAAGAACTTTGCATTTTCTTTGTGCTAGTAAATCTGCATATTTGAAAGAAAATTTGAAGTTATTGAGTGCTAGCTGAGAGAATATGGTATGTAGGCTGAAAGCAACTTTTTTCCTAGTTGGCTTGTTTAATACTTTTACATTATGAATACCACAGATTGAGTGCCTTAACAAATGGGCATTTATTTTCTCAAAGATATCTACCATTAAAAGTGCCTGCAGGGTCTTGTATATACATTTTTCTAATTTGGGGTGAGGAAGGGAAATAACAAAATGCTGAAATAAGAATACAGGTTGACTCAGGACCAATGGAATAGAATTGAAAACCCAGAAATGAACCTACAGACCTATAGCCATCTAATCTTCGATAAGGGAGCTAAAACAATAGAATGGAAGACAGACAGCCTCTTCAGTAAATGGTGCTGGCAAAACTGGTTAACTACATGTAGAAAACTAAAGCTAGATCCTTATATATCACCCTGCACCAGAATCAACTCCAAATGGATCAAAGACCTTGAACTCAAAGCAGACACTCTGAAAACATTACAGGATGGAATAGGAGAAACCCTGGGTCTCCTTGGCTCAGGCCGAAATTTTCTGAATAGAGACCTGGAAACACAACAAATCAAAGAAAGGCTGGACAAATGGGATTGTATAAGGTTGCAGAGCTTCTGCAGGGCAAATGACATAGCTAGCAAGATCAATAGAAAGCCCACGGACTGGGAGAAGATCTTTACTAGCCATACAACGGACAAGGGTCTCATATCTAAAATATACTTGGAACTCAAAAAATTAAACCACCCAACAACAAATCCTCAAAGAAACAACTGCCCAATAAGTAAGTGGGCGAAAGACTTAAAGAGAAGCTTCTCTGAAGAAGAAAGAAGGATGGCCAATAGACACATGAAGAAATGTTCAACATCCCTAGCCATAAAAGAAATGCAAATCAAAACAACATTGAGATATCACCTCACTCCAGTTAGAACAGCAAAAATCAAGAACTCTAACAACAACAGATGCTGGAGGGGATGTGGACAGAAAGGAACCTTACTTCATTGTTGGTGGGAATGTAAACTTGTTCAACCACTTTGGAAAGCAGTATGGAGGTTCCTCAAAAGACTCCACATAGAGCTCCCCAATGACCCAGCAATCCCACTTTTGGGCATTTACCCAAATGATCACAAACAAGGCCACACTAAAGCTACCAGCACAACTATGTTTATTGCAGCATTATTTACCATAGCTAAGACATGGAACCAACCCAGATGCCCCTCAGTAGATGAATGGATCAAGAAGATGTGGTATATATACACAATGGAATTCTATGCCTCCATCAGAAAGAATGACATTTCCCCATTTGTTAGGAAATGGAAAGGCTTGGAAAAAATTATATTAAGTGAAGTAAACCAGGCCCAAAGAAACATAGGTCCCATGGTTTCCCTTATTTGCAATATCTAGTATAGGTATGAGTCAAGCGGAAAAAGTCAGATAATGTGATGTTAGGAAAACGAAACCTCAAATATGTATTTTAATGTTTTTGTTTCTTTCATGCATGTATTTCTAACGCATTTATAAGATTATTTCTTTGTTGCTTTGTATGTCCCTCCCCCACAGTGTAATCCCCGCTTTCACTATATTTGATGTCAGTATAACATGTGGAGGAGATGGGGACAAACAAGTCCTTTAAGGATTCAGGTGGACCTGTTGCAACAATGAGAAGTACAAAATGTCATGTCAAAACCAGCTTTACAATGTCGGTGGGGGGGGGGGGGTATGATTGGGTGGGAGGGAGGGGGGAGGCTGGGAAGGGAGGTGAAGGGTAAACAAAGGAGGAGGCTGCAATGCTTGGCAAGAAATGTATGCATTATCCTGCCCATGTAATTGTAACCCCTCTGTACAGTATGTTCTCAAATAAAATAAAATAAAATTTAAAAAAAAAAAAAAAAAAAGAATACAGGTTGACCCATTGTAACAATGAGATGGACAAGACAATATGTTGAAAACTAACTTCAGGAAGTGGGGGGAGGGAGGCGAAGGAGGGGGTAACAACACTCCATAGGAAAAGTACTCATTACCTTACTCATGTAACTAACCCTTCTGCACAGTATTTTTATAATAAAAAGCATATATATATTTATATTAAAAAGTGCCTGCAGGGGCTGGGAATGTGGCTCAGTGGTAGAGTGCTTGCCTACATTGCATGAAGTCCTGTGTTCCATTACTCAGTACCCCATACACAGAAAAAGCCGGAAGTGGTGTTGTAGCTCATGTGGTAGAGTGCTAGCCTTGAGCAAAAGCAAGCCCTGAGCTTTTTCAGCTTGATGCTAGTGCTCTAACACTTGAGCCACAGCTCCACTTCTGACTCCATTTTTGGTGATTAATTGGAGAAAAGAGTTTCATGTACTTTGCTGCTGTGAACTGAAATCTTCAGATCTCCACCTCCTGAATAGCTAGGCTTACTGGTGTGAGGCACTGGCACCAGGAACATAGGTTTATTTGGAAGAAAACCTGGATAGAGAAGCCTTCAGCCAAAGCTTAGAAACTCATTTTTGCTTACAGTCTAGGACATTTTGTAGCTGTCTGGAAATGCTAGAGTTGCCTGGTGGGAGTTGTTACAAAAGAAACTTAATAGTGAGATAGAGAACTAGAAAAAAAGTCACAGCTGGAGAAAGGGAAAGAAGACCTGTTTTGTTCAAAGTCCTGATCTGTTGCTAGCCAAATGGGTTACAGCTATGGAAAAGGTAAGGCTGGAGTGGTTGCAGAACAAGGCACTAAGGTGAGGACCCCAGGCTATTGGACCTAACAATATTGATCACACAAACTGACACCTTTGTAAATTTGTATTTTCTGTTTCTTTTTTTTTTTTTTTTTGGTTGGTCATGGGGCCTGAACTCTGGGCCTGGGTGCTGTCCCTCAGCTCTTCAGCTCAAGGCGAGCACTCTACCACTTGAGCCACAGCGCCACTTCCGTAAGTTTTATTTTCTAATCTCAACTAAAACCACAGTACCATTAATCATTCCCGCCCCCCCCCCCCCTTTTTTTTTTACCAGTCCTGGAGCTTGAACTCAGGGCCTGGGCACTGTCCCTAAGCTTCTTTTTGCTCAAGGGTAGTATTCTACCACTTGAGCCATAGCTCTACTTTTAGCTTTTTACCGACTAATTGGAGTTA